GGAAGGGAAGGGAAGGGAAGGGAAGGGAAGGGAAGGGAAGGGAAGGGAAGGGAAGGGGAGGAAAAATGAAAAACCATGAAGTTAAAGTTTCATTAGTCATTGGCAGTGAGACAGTGAGTGTCCCCACTACTTTTGATTAAATTAATAATCTATTTTCTGAATTTAAAGCCAGGACTGGTTAGGAGCTAATTTATTACACTATTAACTGAAAAGCCTACAGTTCTTCCACACCTTGCTAAAGAGGTCCATGGAAAAACAGTTAAGGCCATTGCTATACGTTCAGCAGGAATAACATCTACCCATCCATCCTGCCTTAGCTGTGTGTACCCAACTTTGTGCCATTCTCTGTGCTGTGCTGTCCTGTGCATTTCTGCTGTTACCTTGTTAAATCTGCCTCAAAACAGCAAGGGTTTTGAGGAGATGTTATTGCTCGGTCACATAATTTCCCAGGTTCTTCTCATCCTAGTGCTGAGTGACAGAGGCAGAGAAGTAGGGAGGGAATGAGCAGCTGGGATACAGAGTAGCAGCCGGCACACTGGCAAAATGTGTTTGTATACTCTGATTTCAGTAGTTTGGTGGTCTGGGCTTCTTTTTTTGTTTGTGTTTTTGGTTAGGTTTGTTGTTTGGTTTTGTTTGTTTGTTTGGTTTTTTTTGTTTGTTTTTTTTTTTTTCATTTCAAGGTATTCATAATTGGATATTTTTAAAGCATCTTTAGACCTTTCATGTTAAATCTGACACCAGACATTGCAGAGATTCACCAGTGCTGTCATATTTACCTAACCATTCAAAGGAATCCAAATAATTTGTTTCTCATATTGACCTCCCCCTGAGTTTTCTCTACCCAGTGTAAGTCTGTGACACCCATTTCTACAGGGTGCTTAAGATAAACTGCTGAAGTAATCATTCCTCGCTATTTTCTGTTAATGTGATAATAGTGTTCAAGAAGAACGTCATGAAAATCAGCCTCCACGAGATCACATTTTTTCCCCTCAGTTGTATACCATACAAATGAGGTGAATCACTTTCAACATGAAAACTTGTCATCTCTTCTCTCACATCCATGGGAGTCCTGGATCTCCTCTTCTATGTCATTCCTCATTATATCCAAGTGAGGAAGGCATTTCTAGCTAAGCTAAATTAAATTGTGAAATGAATTTTAATGGCTACCCTGAATATTTCCAAAGAGAAACATAGCAGATTTGGAGATTTTTACTGAAGGTCCGCGCATTTTTTTCCAGCTACGCAACCTGAGAAAAAGAGCTAATAGATGCGCATGCACGGGAGTGAAAAGATATTATCTAGTATCTAGTAGTTAAATTTAGAAAGGGGAAAAATCAAAAGAAATGACAGCATTGTCTCAGAAAGTTGCTGCGGTTTATGCATCACATCGGTTCTGTCCTTACTCTCTGTTCTTCTTGAATATTATCAGCACTGATTTTAATCTGCCATTTTATTACCTTGTCACTCAGTATTTTGAAGTCCTTTAATACTTCTCTGCAGCCTGACCTCCTCTCTGGTATCCTGAATAACTTAGTACATCAGCAAACTTAATTATTTCACAGCTCACACCCTTTCCCAAATTTCTGATGGCTACACTAAATGGCACAGGCCCCAAGCAAGCCCTCTCATGACTGAACACACTTAATTGCAAAAAACATTCACGGATTCCTATCCCTTGTTTCTTATCTTTTAACCAGTTGCATATGTATGTGAGGACTTCCTTATAATGCAATATCTGAACTTCTTTGGTAGTAGTTTTACGGTGAGACTCAGCTGAGATTCTTTCAAAGATTCAAGGACATGATGCTATTTTGGCTCCCTCTTGTCTGTGTATTCACTGGCTCTTCAGTAACCTTTAGTATAACCAAGAAGTATGGCATATCCTGTCTCAAATGGCATATTTACTGTTCTCTTGTGCACCAATTTATCCGTATCTGCCTCGGTATTGGGTGGTAGGGATGTCAGCTTTACTGGTCTGTATTTTTCTG